CCTCCTCCTCTTCCTCCTCCTCCTCCTTCTCCTCTTTCTCCTCCTTCTCCTCTTCCTCCTCCTCCTCCATATCCTCCATATCCTCCATCTCCCCCCCCCCCACCTCCTCCTACTCCTCCTCCTCCTCCTCCTCCTCCTCTTCCTCCTCTTCCTCCTCCTCCTCCTTCTCCTCTTTCTCCTCCTTCTCCTCCTCCTCCTCCATATCCTCCATCTCCCCCACCGCCTCCTCCCCCTCCCCCCGGAAACAGCCAAAGTGGTACGAGGAGACACGGCACTTCCCCGCGGTCGAGTTCCGCCGCCGCCGCCGCTCTCTCCCGCTCGCAGGTACTATGGTGACGTCACTGCATGGGTCAGCGGACAATAACGCTGCCTAAGTAGGCCAATGTTGCAAATGAGCGGTGCAAAAGGCTTTTAAGATTACGATGGCACCGTTGGCTCTCCATTAGCATTAATATTCCATGAGGCCTTTTCTTCTGATCCCGCTCCCCCCCCCTCCCATCCCATCCCTTTCCCTTCCTTATACCCCCCCACCCTCCCCTTCCCCCCTCCCTCTTGTGCGAAGGTGGAATGGTGACGCGTCGTGCTATGGGAGAGCGTGTGTGTGTGTGGGGGGGGGGGCACGTGGGGATCAGCTGGCGTCTGTGTATTAAGGTTAATGCATCTCCACCATTAGCATTGAGGTATAAGTCGATGTTATGGTTGGAGGAGTTTTTAAAAAGGAAATTTTCTCTCCTCCCTTTCCCTCTCATTCTCTTTATCTATCTATCTATATATCTCTATCTATCTCTATCTCCATCACTCTATCAATATCTATCTGGATATCTATCTATCGATCTATCTATTTGTGCATCTCTCCAACCAACTCTTTATTATTATATGTTTCTATATAGCCTATATCTTTCTGTTGAATCGTCTACCTCCGTGTGTCTCTCCCTCCACTCTCCTTTTCACAACCCGCTGACATGATCACACGAACATCTACACGCGCCCACGCACCTCTTTTCCTCTCGTGTTTCTCTCTTCCAGTCATCACGTGATCACTGTGTCAAAGCACGTGATCACTTCGAATGGCTGCCACGTGACTAGCGACTCCGAGGTGATGTTCCAGTTTTTAGTTTTATTAATATTTTTTTTCCTCTTTTACCATTTCCATACTCGTAGCTATCAAGTGAGACCCGGCAAATGGCCACCTCGTCGGGGAGCAGCCGCTGAGCCACCACATCGCCAAATTCCAAGTCACATTTCTTGCACCGCGGGTTAGCTTAGCGTAAAATCGCTACCTGCTGCATCTCCACTTAGCGAGTTCACTGCTCCCTAATATGTTGCTGTTATGTCACCCGTTGTCAAGACCTGCCATTACCGTTGCAGCGACAGCCGTTTTCAGCGCTGCGGTCACTTGTAACGTCTTTTAATTTCTAAAACTGGTAAATGATGTGTTAAAATTTTTTCGATTATGAGGCGTGATTATGAGGTCAAGATGATTACAGCCTCCCTCTCTCTTGTTTCCCTTCTGCTGTTTATTATTTTTTTAATTTTATTTTCTTCCCATCTTCTCTTACTGATTTCCTACTCGTTTGCCCTTATCACCTCCTCCATTTTCCATCTCTTCTCTTTTCCTCTTTATCCTCCCTTTTTCTTCCGGCTTCTTCTACCCCTTTCCCTTTCACCTGCTCCTTTCGGCATCCAGTCGAGATGCTCACGGGAGATAAGGAGAGAGATCGGCGTCACGCACAACCGAACAGCTGATAAGACGCGCTTCCAGGTCATCGTGTAAAAGAGGTTGTAGACCCTCTTAAGATACACAATATTATCTCGTTAAATGTTTATGATATGGTGATAGTCTGAAGTAGGAAGAAGGGGGTCGAGGGGGGGTTAGGTCCCTTTCGTCAGGAACGGCTTTGATAACTGGACGGATCTGATAAGTGGACGAGTCATTCGTTTAGATTAACCAAATGGTAGACTGGCAATAGCAACAGAACAAGTAAACTATATATATATATATATATATATATATATATATATATATATATATATATATATATATATATATACATATATATATATATATATATATATATATATATATATATATATATATTTGTTTATTTAATTATTTATTTATTTATTTATCTATCTATTTCTATTAACACACATGAATGTATATCAATAAAATATACTGTATGTGTGTGTGTGTGTGCGTGCGTGTATGTGTTTGTGTATGTGTGTGTGTGTGTGCTTGTGCAGACTGGTGGCCAGATGAAATTCACCTAATAAATAGAGAGATATATTACATATGATAGATATGCAGTGATAGGTATGCAGAATAAAAGTGAAGTATATATATATGTGTGCAGTTGCAATAGAAAGTAAAAAAAAAAAAAAGTTAAAAATTGTGGTCACTGCCATGATATTTAAAAAAAAAAAAAACTAAGACAGACATACATACTGCCATACAAACTGATATACACGCAAATATGAAAATATAAAACGAAGGATATGTTAGCAAAGTGGTAAAATCCCCGCTAAACATTACTAATCATAATCACGGTATTGTGCGAGGACCACGCCCAAACAAAGAGGGCGTGGCTGATGCAAACTCCGCCCATCACTTTATCTGCCGTCACGTCATGAGCGGAGTCTTACGTATGGGTTTGGCCGTGACTCCAGCCTTGTTTTGAGGTAAGGTATGGGTTCGTGCGTGTGTGTGTGTGTGTGTGTGTGTGTGTGTGTGTGTGTGTGTGTGTGTGTGTGTGTGTGTGTGTGTGCGTGCGTGTGTGTGCGTGTGTGTGCGCGCATGTGTGCTTGTGCGCGCATGTTTTTCTGTTTGTATATATGCGTGTCTGTTTAGGTAAGTATATCACGGTTGCCTCAGGATAGGGTAAGACTGTCCATGCATTACCATAGTAATTATAAGTCAAGTAGGCCTAGGCAAGGCAAATGCCTGTTCCTTCACTTCACGCAAGTAGGCCTAAGAAAGGGCGGAAAGTGGCTGTATGTAGGTCTACCCTGTGGTTTGGAGGCGACTAAGCAATAGGAATTTAATGAGTCATAATTGTATGGTGGACCTTGTACAGTGGGTGCCAGTTATCGATTTTCCTCCCTATTTTTCTGGTTTCCAAGTGCGGTTTTGCTTGTCCTTTGATTTAGGAAAGCGGAGGATGATGAACACCTATTTGAAATGGAAACTCCGAAAATTCTCAAATAGAAATGATATTCCCAACTATTATAATTTCGAACGTCCACTGATAACACGACAACACCCATTTTTTTTACACCCATTCATTCATACACACACACATACGCAAACGCACACACTCTTGCTTACACACACGAAAAAAAACCCGGCCATTATGGTAGAGTAGCAGATAGCCCTCAGGCCAGTCTATATTTGGTCTCTTTGAGGTCGGAGTCGCGTGTGCGGTTGGGTAACGTTGGTGTCACGAAACGAGGGAGAAGGTAAAGGAAAAGGGAGAGGGAGAGAAAGGGGGAAAAGAGGGAGTGGGAGAGAAAGGGGGAAAAGAGGGAGAGGGAAGAGAAAGGGGGGAAAAGAGGGAGAGGGAGAGAAAGGGGGTAAATGATGAAAAGAGAGAGCGAGGGAGAGGGAGAAGGAGGGGGAGAGAAGGGAGGAAATGATATGATGATGAGAGAGAAGAGGGAGGGGGGAAGAGGGGAACACATTAAGGAAGGCTGGAAGGAAAGAGAGAGAGAGAGAGAGAGAGAGAGAGAGAGAGAGAGAGAGAGAGAGAGAGAGAGAGAGAGAGAGAGAGAGAGAGAGACAGAGAGAGAGAAACAAAGAGAGGGGAGTGAAAGATTTAACAAGCAAAACAGAATGTAGAGGCAGAAAGAGGGAAAGGGAGGAAGGACGTACACGTGGCGGTCAAGGTCAGAAGAGCGTGACAGCTTTGTGAGAAAAGGAGAGGGGGGGGGGCGGGGGGGGGGGAGGAAATGGAGAGAGTAGATAGGAAGAGAACGGCAGGCGGAAAGAGGATAGAGAGGAAAGGGAAAGGAAAGATAGGAGAGGAAAGGGAGGAGAAGAGGGAAGAGAATAGAGAAGGGAAAATGAAAGAGGAGAGAGGAAGGAAGCAAGAAGCAAGAAGAGGACAGAGAAAGAGGAGAAAAGAGGAAAGAGGAATGGGACGAAAAACGCAAAGAGGATAGATAATAAAGGGATAGAATAGGGAGAGAGAAGAAGGGACATCGGATAGAAGAAGAGAAAGAACAAGGAGAGGAGAAAAGTGACTCGTAGAGAAGAAAGAACAGAAGAGGAAAGAGAATAGGGGAGAGAAATAGAGATGTGAAGAGATGACAGCGGCTTTCACAACGTCATGCAATTTTTAAGTTAGCTTTTGGCATCAATAATTTTCCCCTTTTTTCGCCTGGCTGTAATTTGGGCCAGCGAGGGGAGATCAGGCGATAAAGGGAGAGGGTGAAAGGGAAAAAAATGGCGCTATAGATAAACCCTGTGATGTTTTGCAAAGCAGAATAACCGTGTAAATATTAGTATACTTATTTTCTGATATTATCTTCCTTTTCGTGTAGTGACGAAATCCAACTTTTCGTTTCTTTATTTTCTCGAAAATATCCAAAAAGGAACGAAATGAGAAAAGACTGTTATTATGCATACAAGACATATATGTATATATCACTTCTATATATGTATAGAAGTGAAACCTCAATAAAAAGATAAGCCTATATATATATAGTGAATTAGATAGATAGATAGATAGACAGATAGATAGAGGGCAAAACAATCAGATAATTAGGTAGATATTGATATAGATATAACAAATAGACAACACAAATAGATATATAGATAGATATTAATAAGGATATAAACATATAGATCGATATTGATATAAATTTAACACCTACGTACTCGTACATACTGAATATGGCGTTTCCGTTTAAAAATTCTTAATTGCTTGGCCAGCATCAGAATATAAGAATTGCCAAGAGAAAGGTGAGTCCGACCTGTTAATTAATGCCTTTATTCTTTCCAGGTGAGTAAGCGGAGTACCTGAACGCCTGCGGAAAATGACCCTTATGAGCAGAGGTACACCCAAGGCACCACAAAAGCGTAGGTAAAAGTATTTATGTAATGAGGTGTGCATGAAGGACATCCTGTATACGTATATGTAGATATACATAAAGATATTCTTTATACGTGCATATACATGCAGGTTCCTCTGCCCCCCCCTCTCTCTCTCTCTTTCTCAAACACGCACGCGCACACACACACACACACACACACACACACACACACACACACACACACACACACACACACACACACACACACACACACACACACACACACACACACACACACACATACACAAAAAAAAAAAAAAAAAAAAAAAAAAAAAAAAAAAAAAAAACTCAAGCACGCACACACGTATCTATGTATACAAAAAAACGCTCTTGGTCACATGTATGTATGTGAACACGTAATGTTTGTGTTACATGTATTCATAGTTTACACATGGTGATATAAAATGTGAAGTCTTGTTATTTATAATTATGAATTTGTTTATCAGTACACGTGAACATATGTCTAGATATTCATATGAATACATTTAATTTGAACGTGAAATATTAATCAGATATCATTATACTTATTAACACCATTTTCACGTAACCTCATTTCCGCATCAAAGCATACTACCGAACGTTAACGATCAAAGCACTCCTGCTATTATGCCATTTTCCTATTGTTCAAACTGAGAAAGAAAGACAAGCATAAAAAAATAATGGTTTGTCCTTTTAGCTGAAGAACACCCACGCCTTCCTGTTTAGCGTTTCCTGGTGGCGAGTAACTGTATATTTTCAAGACAATATAGATTTACTCGTTAACGTAAAGTACTTTGGAATCTAAGACTCAGTTATGCCGTATCATTGTTGCACTTGTTTCCAGAGTTGTATAAGGGAGATACCTGTAACGCTAGACTGTTATATTACTCGTGTTATTTCTGAATGTCAGAGTTCATGTGCGTTTCTGCTCTACGTCCCACAAGGAGATCTTCAGTTATCGTCTTCGGAGTGTAGAGGGGGGGGGGGCGGAGGAGGAAAAATATTCCAACTTTCTCAACTTTCCCAACGTTCTCGGAAACTGACGTAGGTTAACTGGCTGCTGCCTCTTCGTGCCGCCGCAGTAATTATAGTATTGGGTTATACAAGTTTTAATGGCCATTCAGTGATATTGATGATTTGCTGGGCATTTAAGCACGAAACTCTGTAATCAAAGGTAACCATAAGTTTTATCTGATGACAGCGCCTGGTTTAGAATGGTTAAGCACTTCTCGGAACCTGCAGCTGACTTCATGAATTTACTCATGCGAAGAAAAGATTTTTACTTTTCTTATACTTTTGTGAACAAATCCAGCCAGAGCTTTCAGGGTCTCTCCTAGTGATATTTTTAGTAAATAGTTGTCCATAACAGAACACAATCACACGGCTCCTAGTGATATTTTTAGTAAATAGTTGTTCATAACAGAACACAATCACACGGCTTTTGGCAATATTCAGTATCTTGACTATGCACTGTCAGTACGAGCTCGACATTGGTATTCAATCGTTATGTATAAAATATAGACGTGTGCGTGGCTGCACACACGTTCTGCAGCCAAGATGACTATATAAATATGCGTGTGTGTGTATGTTATGAATAATAATACACATACATACATACATAAATATATCTATATCTATATATATCTATATATATGTGTGTGTGTGTGTGTGTGTGTGTGTGTGTGTGTGTGTGTGTGTGTGTGTGTGTGTGTGTGTGTGTGTACGCGCGCGCACACACACACAAAGTAAAAAAAGCAGAAAAAGCGGTTCATATATTCTTATTTCTATGCTTCGTGGAGACAGATGAAAAGAAGATATAAATGACAGTTTTGACACTTAGTTTACTCCCAAGTTCACTTCCGGTCTATCCAAGGCTGATGAGAAAACATGACTTGCTTGGATTTAGATATCAACTAAAAAAATACAAAGGAAGCAAGAGGGAGAGGGAGAAGGAGCAAGAAAGGAGGGACGAGGAGAGATAAAGAAAATTGCGTATATGTTAAAATTGATCTTTCGTGTTTGATTTCACGTTTTTTTTTTCATATTGGCATCGGATATTGTTAAACCTTCATCACCTGTTTTTAATACCTGAATTCCTTGTATCTTTGCTTAGGATTTTGTTTTGTTGTAAATACTGAGATATGTCGCGGAAAACCTGTTCTTGTGTCACCTTGAACTGCAGGTGATAAGGTACTAAAAATCACAATACTTTAATCTATCAATTTAGCTGTTTCCCTTTGCCTTTCTTTGTCAACAATGTAGATTAAAACGGAAAATATATTGTTGTTTTATTGAGACTTTGTCAGCACTTAGTACAATAGACCGAAGTTAATGTTATAGCAGGGGAAAAAAATACACTGTTAAAAATATGCGTCAAAGTTCGTGGGGAAAAAAAAATTAACTAGCGTTTACTAAAGCTGACAGCATGTTTGGATGATTTCAAAAGAGAGGAAGACAAAGAAGAATGATCTTTTTTTTGTAAATCTTCGGGAAAATTATGTAAATTACTCGACACATGATAAGAATTAAAAGGAAGAATTGAGATGAACAAAATAGTTAATTAAAGAGATCTGTGTATCATTGATAACGAAAGATACTTCAGATTAATTGTATTGATGCAAACCACATTTATTTATCCAAAAATTATCCTGTGAAAATTATTTGTAAAAAGCTGCATGGGTATTAAAGATTATCACTCAACCAGGATTTCCTTTTTCAGTTCCCTTTCTTGGTAACAGACGTAAAGTAAAATAAGAAGAAATGAGTAATTTGAAATTTCTGACCTCTCCCCCCCTTCCAAAAATTGATATGAAAAAATAGAGAAGATGATCTCACGTGGGCAAGTGTCGTATACTAAGAGGGTGCGGGAACTTTAACTCGTTGCAAGGTAGTTATCTTTTTTATATGAACGTGGTTTCATAAGATTGGTATATTTCTGTAAAGTCAAACCTGTTTATCAAATGTGTGCGTTGGTTAGTTATTCTGCCATTGTCATATGAGTTTGTCTTAAGTTTGCAAGTAGGAAAAAGAGATGTGACAAAAGAACGAACGGCACTATTAATCATGCTGGCACATATGCGTGTGTGGGCAAAGTACACACATGCACGCTCACACACATACACACACGCACACACACACACACGCACGCACACACACACACACACACACACACACACACACACACACACACACACACACACACACACACACACACACACACACACACACGTGTATATATATGTATGTATATATATATATATATTATATACATAGGAATATAGATATTTTTTCTATGTATGTATGTATATATGTTTACATACGTCGTATTTATTGTATATATTCATACATAACACATCACAGAGAACACAAATAACACAACATGAATGCTGAATGAACACGCAGTAATAATAAGCAGTGAACGAGAGGCCACGAGACGTCTTCTTCCAGTTTGGGTTTTGGTGATCATAAATCATGCTTGCGTTCGGCCACTGCGTTCAGGTTAGGTTGTTTTCTGGTGATAGTCCAACTACAGAAGATTGTTTTTTGTGATTGCGTTTGGGTTATTTTGTTGTTTGTAGTTGTGGTTTTGTTATTGTTGGCGGAGTAGATGGATGTGAGGATGATGGGGATGAATTTGGTTGTAATGAAAAAAGTAGTGTTAATGATAGTAGTAAAATTACTGTTAATGTGATAATATCAAAATTGTTAACTGTGAAATGGATACAGGTGTGATATCATTATTCTTATTAATATTTTTTCTTGCAGTTGTTGCTATCATCATTAATATTATAATAGTACTTATTGTTATCATCGTTATTAGTAGTAGTAATAGTCGCAGTGCAAATAAGACCAATGCTATAGAAATAAGGACAGAAATAACAATAATATCAGTAACAACAGAAGCATAATGAATAATCATGAGGAAGAAACAAAAAACAATACCATATGAAAAGCTATCCCTCGTACATTGTTACTATTTCCAACACCATTATCATCAGCAAGAACCCAGGCAGAGCTGTAATGCAGTCGTGTGCTGTATGCGCAAAACCGCCTTTTCCCACAAAGACGCGTTAATCCCATAGAAGGCAGTTTCCGGGGACCTGTGTTGGTCGAGGGAGGCAAAGCCAGGGGGAGGAAGAACTTCGTCGCAAGGTTTGTGATGCCAGTTGAGGAAATGAGGAAGTTTATTGCAAGTTGATGCATATTTGGGTGGGCTGGCGTGCGCAATAACAACTGGACAGAAGGCTGGGAACCGATGAGGAGATTAGGGTTGTGGTATTGTGCTTGGGGTGTGTTATACCTATACAGTGATAATGATGGTAATGACAATGGTGATGTTGATAATGATGAGAGCTTAATAATATCAGTATTCAGAACGACAGCAATGTTAATGACTATGACTGCAGTCGTTATGTGAAGGAAATGAACGGGGGAGAGGGATTGTATTCCAGGATGTTCGTGAAGCAGAATCCACGTCACTTTTGGGAGTGTTCGATTCTTCTGCGTGAGTCCAAAGGCGTTATCGCCCCTGGTACGACGCAACTGTCCATTGAGGTTATTCCCGTACGTTTTCAAATAGCAAAACCGACCTTCTTGTAAGAGCACAGGGACTGGACCCGAAAAGAAACGCACGAAAGACAAAATCACATCGCCGGCGGAGGAGGAATAGGGTTTCCCACCCAAAGCGTCGGTGCTTCGAAACCCGTCAGACTTGAATGAGCGAAGCATGACTCGGTCGAATCCTTTTGCTGAGGAGAGAGAAAAAAAAAGTTGATATTGCATGGACAGGGGACTCTTAAAAAAAAACAAAAGCGGGAGTCATGAAGAAGAAAATAAAGTATTTTTACATGAAATACAAGTTCACCTCAAATGGCTCCTGTTGTGTAAGGTTCTTTGAGGTGTTGAGATTAAGATTTGAGAGATTGAATAAAGCTAACAGAGAAAGATAAGATATTTGGCAGATGTTAAGGAGTGTCCTGTGAGGATATCAATTCAGATTCAATGTCAATAGAGGCGGGTTAGACAAGGTCAAGACAAGGTTACAGGCAATCTAGCAAGGCGTTATTTAACATTCTATCATCAGCTTTTGTCTCGTTTTGTCCCTCCTACCTTCCTCCCCCACACTCTCTGGCTTTTCTTTCCTAATGTGTTTTTCTTTCTCTCACTTCTGTCCTTTCCTTCTCTATCATTTATCGTTGCTACTGCTGAATTATTTTCATAGAAATTCAATTGTTAGGGTTCAAAAAGGGAGCGAAGCTAATGACGTCACCACGTTTAGCCAATGAGAGTGCACTGTGAGATACCAGATATAGCTAGATACATTATCATTTGTATTTTGTTATATTTTTATCAGAAGTAAAGCCAAAATTCCCCTCTTTTATTTGTGAACTAAGTATCCTTACCATTAACAGCTATCAGGACAGTCTTAGGGCAAAGTTAGTTTCGTTTTCGGGTCCAAATGGAAGTGGAGCTACCTGGCTATATGTGCCTTGTATATGGTAGACACACGTGTATACATATATACATATATATACACATGCACATATATACATATATATACACATGCACATATATACATATATATACTTGTATACATATATATACACATGCACATATATACATATATATACACATGCACATATATACATATATATACACATGCACATATATACATATATATACACATGTCCTTTCCCTTCTCTTCTTCTTTCTTTCTCTCTCTCTCTCTCTCTCTCTCTCTCTCTCTCTCTCTCTCTCTCTCTCTCTCTCTCTCTCTCTCACACACACACACACACACACACACACACACACACACACACACACACACACACACACTCGTATCGGCAAATATACACATATTTAAAAAAGATATATATATATATATACATATTATTTTCCCATTAAACTTAACCTTGGGGAGTTTCATTGCCCTCTGTATATATATACATATGTATATATATTGATATGGAAGGTATCGTTACCCATTCCATCTTGATGAAAATCCTAGTTGGCAACTTCCGAGATAAACCCTGTCTCATTACCTTTATTCATTGCAAAAATTAGATGTTTCTTTTATTTATTTATTTTTGCTTGCTTTCGTTTTCGATAATTTATCGTTGCTACTGCTGAATTATTTTCATAGAAATTCAATTGTTAGGGTTCAAAAAGGGAGCGAAGCTAATGACGTCACCACGTTTAGCCAATGAGAGTGCACTGTGAGATACCAGATATAGCTAGATACATTATCATTTGTATTTTGTTATATTTACCAGAAGTAAAGCCAAAATTCCCCTCTTTTATTTGTGAACTAAGTATCCTTACCATTAACAGCTATCAGGACAGTCTTAGGGCAAAGTCAGTTTCGTTTTAGGGTCCAAATGGAAGTGGAGCTACCTGGCTATATGTGCCTTGTATATGGTAGACACACGTGTATACATATATACATATATATACTTGTATACATATATATACTCATGCACATATATACATATATATACACATGCACATATATACATATATATATACATATACATAAACATACATGCATGCACACACACACGTACATGTAAGTATGTGTGTGTTTGTATGTGTAGGCACACAATATGTGGACATATATGTGTGTGCGTGTTTACATCCCCCTCCCATCCTCATTCTCTTCATTTCTCAGTCCAAGTTCGCTGAGTTCATCAGCTGAGTAAACAGAATGAACAGATCCCAAATCCCAAGGACTCCCTGGAGGCGCCCTAGCAACAAGAAAGGCGGCTCTGGCTCGAGGCCGAAGGGACGCGGGATGAGCGCGAGAGGATGAAGGGCATATCGACACCCGCCGAAGGATAACGTGGAGGAAGTCCTTCTTAAAAGTCAGAAGACCGGTGGAGGAGGAAAAGCGAGTCTGAGGAAAATCGATTTTTTTGGATATCGATTCTTTGTTCGAAGGTCATGATAAATGTATGAGAAAGGGTAATGAAAGGTTTTTGAAAGTGTAGGGAGAAATATTCGGGCTCGTGGAGAAGCAGTAAAATGTATAATGAAAGGGATTTACGTAAGCGAGGTAGTAAAACAACACAAAGGCTATAGTTCAACAACCGGAAGCCGGAACAAGTGGATGCATTGTGCAACGTGCAGGAGAAAATGAATGGAAGAAAGGAGTGATTTACGTACTTTTTTTTACACGTGTCGGCGGGAACTATAAGAATAGCCTTTTGAAAGCGCCCTATCTGGCCATGACTCCTACCATTGTCATTAAGTTGTAAAAAGAAATAATCAGTTAGGCCGAGGAATCAGAATACATCGGAGAGACTGTCTGCTTAGAAAAGTGACAGGAAGTGTGAGACTGTATATTGTTGGAATATGAGACTGTTGCTGCCGTTGTCTGCTGCGCAGGGCGGCCGCAGGTGGAGACGGTCGACTGGTTTGCTGGTTGGCCGGGAGGTTTACTGACTGGTTGTCAAAGAACGTGGCTTAAGAACTCTCAGGTGGTCAGAGGTGTATGTACGGAATAGAAGGGAATTATAGGGTATGGTTCGTGACCTCTGACATGAAATTACAGGGTAGAGTTGGAAGTTAGAAGAAATCATCTTAACCCCAAGGGCAGCATGGAGTAGTATAGAAATCAGAAGGAATCTCTCGCCTCTGTATCTGCCTAACCTGAAAACAACACGGCGTAGTCGGAAAGTTAGAGAAAATTGTCCGCGGTTATTCATGCGACAGTCTTTCATGAGGGACCCCGGGTGAACAAAATCGCCGGCTATTGGTAGATTTAAATACTCTTGCCTGCGTCATTTGGCTCCATTGCCGTGCAAAACACGCTCTTGGGAACATACCGGTGACGTCAACGTGTATTTAGATGACGGCGGTGATGCTGTTCTTGGTATGCATCAAGAAGAGATTTCTAGTGCCCCATTGTCGATGGAGAAGGAAGTGCAGATGGCAGTGATGGACGGACATGGGGAAGAGAAGGAAGAGGAGACAAAGAGGTAAAGCAGGAGGAGGAAGACCCGGAGAAAGACAGAGTGAACTGAAGAACTTGGGAGGAGAATATAAACAAGGCAAATGGAGGAAGGCGAGAAAAGATACAACGCAAAAGAGGGGGAATAAGAAGAGCAGTAATCGAGACGTAAAAAAAACAACTTTAAAATCAAGAGACACCGAGAAGGGCAAAGCAGGAACTTGTAAGCCATGTTCCGAAATCAGACGAATATAGGTCAACCAGCAGCTTAAAAGACACGAGAGGGGAAAAAGGAAAAAGATGGCGGACAGTCGACAAACAACAGCAGCGTAGTCGAACCTGCAGTCGCCAAACCTGTTCTCCTTGAGGTCTAACCTGCTGCCAAGCGCTAGCAGGGGGTCACGACGTCGCCGGTCTCAAGGGCTTTAATCTTACGTCCTTTGGATGCTCCTCTGGCAGGGGAGTAATTGCCTGCAGGGCGGAGATGTTAGGAGTTGGCCCAAAAAAGGAGGGAGGTTGAGATAGTTTCTTGAGGGCTGTTTGGTTGGTAGTCATTGGACTGACAAGCATTGTTTTTTTTTTTTATTAAACGAAATGCACAATTAGTTAGAACGGATATGTTCAAATGGAGGGAAGATATATGCTTTACTTCATTTTAAATTAGCCAGATTAAAATTGTTAGGTTTTCTCTTACTCTGATCCTCTCTCTCTCTCTCTCTCTCTCTCTCTCTCTCTCTCTCTCTCTCTCTCTCTCTCTCTCTCTCTCTCTCTCTCTCTCTCTCTCTCTCTCTCTCTCTCTCTCTTCATCTACACACACACACACATTTACTACAAGGGCACATATATTGCACTTCAACAGGAATATATAGACAGCAAATTCCAGTAAGATACATGATGGTGTTCCAAGATCTGCATCCACTCAGCCAATAGAGTTGATTCATCCGCCAACATCCCCTCGCTTGCATTCCAAGCAATAAGTAACCATAAGGTCAACAACCTATCATTTCCTCAAAGATGGCGAAACGTCCTTTTTTACGATTTTGTTTGTTTGTTTGTTTGTTTGTTTATCACAGAACGCTTACGAGTGAAAAACATTAAAAAAACGAAGCCAAAGTACATCAAAGAAAACACAGCCTTGCAAGTTCTGGCAAGTCAACCTGGGCGGATCTACAAGACTAGCCTCGGGGTGGGAGTAACCTCTAACATCTCGGACTTTTAAAAAGGAAGAAAAAAAAATGAACATCACACTGCACTTGTAGGTCTAGACGCGTACTGTATGCTACCCGACTTCTCAACGCCGACGAAAGCAACTTAGATTTATCGGTTTTACGTGAATCATCGCAATAGATGAAGTTGAAGCGAAGCAAGGAAGACAATAAGAAAACAGATAGACATAGAACTGAATAAAGAAGAAGATACTGGTTTGATCTCTTGACCCCAAAGGTGCGGTTCAAGAAATTTGTTTCCTGGTGCTTGTTCTATCCATTTATTTTCCCGTTAATAGCCTTCAATTATACAGTATGTCAATATGGGTAACTTTGTTTGCATGGTCATTATAGTTTATTTTCGTAAGAGGGGGAGTTATTAGATTGCAATTATATTTATTATCTCCTGTTAGGAATGCATTTCCACCCCATAACCCTTGCTTTCTGCAGTCTCGCCTTTCTGTTGCTATAATTCCCTCTATTTTCTCCCCCATTCCTTTGTTTTCTTTAGCATTTCCTCTTGGTTTCCTGTTGTCATTTTTCCCTCATCTATTTCGTTGTATCTCACTCGAGTTGTTCACTTTTTCCCGCTTTTATGCTATTGTTTAATATTCTCTTCCTATTTCATCACAGGGTAAGCTTACATTATCATTTCTTCACGCAACTTTTACATTGCTTTGAATTCATCCCCCCCCCCCAACGACTCGGGGGAAAAAATGTATTCCTACAGTCTTGAAACACAAACACAAGTTTACTTTTTCTACCATAAACAAGAGA